CCTAGGATGGAGCTCCAAATCCAGCTCCTTGCTTAGCAGGGAGCCTGCTTCTCCCTCTCCCTCTGCCTGCTACTCCCCCTACTTGCGCTCGCTCGCTCTCTCTCTCTCTCTCTCTGTCAAATAAATAAATAAATAAAATTTAAAAAATTTTTTAAAAAGCACAAAGAAAATGTGTGAATGGGCACAGAGTTATCTCTAGGATATTCAAAATACTGGTTGCCTTTGGGTAGGGGTACTATATGACTGGGGAAGATTTTTCATTATGTATCTTTCATACCTTTTGAATTCTGAACAACAGCAATTACCTATTCAAAAACATTAAATGAAAAACACAGCTGCCAAAGCACTCAGTGGTTTCCCTTTTGTGCTGAGTTAAGCACTCAGGGTCAAGAAGCACAGGCCAAAGGGGTTAGTAGTCCCACTTACTAGAGTGTAGGAAAGGAAGGGGCAAGGGGAACAAATAATGCTGTTTTGAGGAAGCAAGTAACTTGCCCTCTGTTTAATCATCAGCCGCAAAGAACCTCACAGCTTTGTCCCTCCTGCCTCCCAAAGTCAGTTCTGCACCAACCTAGTTGGCCCAAAAGATGCAGTCCTAGGGTGCCCGGATGGTTCAACTCGTTAAGCGTCTGATTTGACTCAGATCATGATCTCAGAGTCCTGGGATCAAGCCCTGTGCCCACCTGGCTCCCCACTCAGCAGGGAGTCTGCTTGTCCCTCTCCCTTTATCCCCTCCTCATGCTCGGTCTGTCTCTCAAATAAAAAAAATCTGAAAAATAATAAAAAATATACAGTCCTATTTGTGCTTATTCGAACTGCTTAAAGAACAGGGGTCTTGGAGCTGGCTCCTTGCTTTCAACAGTTCATTAAAAAAAAAAAAATTCTCAAAAAAGCAATACAGGGAGAACATTGACCAAGCAGACAAAGGCAAAAGGCAAGGTTGCTTGCCCAAAAGCTATTTACGGGTATTTGATAGAAATGAAGGCTTTTGATATTCTGTAAGGACATGAAGGCAATGTTTTCCAACAAACACAATTAAGTATTCTCTGCCACTCATTTTTAACCTTCAGGTAAATACAATCTAATGGAATTTGGTTTCCTATCATCCTACAACCAAAAGCTCAGAAATAAAAACATCTTTGAATGTTTTCATTCAAATAAAGGATCTTTGAATGAAAGGGCATGTACCTACTTTAAGCCTTGATTAGTAATCTGTTTTCTTCTCTGGCATTTCCAATTGCCCTCTCTGATTCTCAAGAAAATATATATGCAAGGAATTCTGTTTTGGACTTAAAAAACTCAGAAAAGCTTGTGTGCACAATGAAACAACCTGACACAGGACACGCACAGCATGGGATCTTGCTGGAAGGACTCCAGGTGGTTTTTCCATTGTGACTGGTGAGTAAGTAGTTTAAGAAAATGCTGCTTGGATAAAGATTTGCCCTTTAACACAAAGAATAAGAAGGATCTTGCTCAAATGCCAAATCCCTTCCTTCCAATTTTGAGAGTACAAGGCAACGTACTTTCTCTTTTGAGGAGAATCTTATATTCGAGCCCTACAGCTGGTATTTTTAACTCAAAATGCTGCAAGACTAATAGTGCACAATACAAAAAGGAGATTACAATACCAATTCTACTTAAAGTAGCATTTAAAAAAAAAAAAAACCCAGGGGCACTGGCTGGCTCAAATGGAAGAGCACGTGACTCTTCATCTTGGGGTTGTTAGTTCAAAACCCACACTGGGTGTAGAGAGTACTAAAAAATAATAAATAAATAAATAAACTTTAAAAAAATTTTTTAAAAACAGACAGCTGCATGTATTAAAAAACAAAACCCACCAACTTGGGAATTAACCAAGGAGGTGAAAGACCTGTACAGTGAAAATTACAAAATATTGCTAAAAGAAACTAAAGAAGACGTAAACACAAAGATGGTCTGTGTTCATGGATTCAAAGATTTAGTGTCATCGTCAATATTGCCCAAAGCAAGCCACGGATTTAATACAATCCCTATCAAAATCCCAGTATTTTTTGCAAAAGAGAAAAACCATCCTAAAATTCATAATCTCAAGAGACCCTGAAGAGCCAAAATAATCCTGAAAAATAAGAACAAAGCTGGAAGACTCACTCCTCCTTACTTAAAACTTACTAAAACGCTACAGTAATCAAAACAGTGTGGTAGTGGGAGAAAGACACACAGACAGAATTGAGCAGAATCTAGAAATAAACCCTTGCATGTATAACCAAATGAACTCCGAGAAGGGTATCAGGACCATTCACTAGGGAAAAGAATCTCCAAAAATGCTGAAAAAGCTGGATATCTACATGGAAAAGAACGAAGTTGGACACTTATGTAACACCATATACAAAAATTAACTCGAAGTGGATCCAGGACCTAAATGTAAGACCTAAAACTATAAAATTGAAAAGAAAACAGGAGAAAAGCTTCCCAACACTGTATCTGAAATGATTACTTGGATACAACATCAAAAGCAACATAGAAAAACAAATTCGACTTCATGAAAAATTTAAAACTTGGTGCATCAAAAAACATTATCAGCAGAGTAAACTTACAAAATGAAAATATTTGCAAATTACCTATCTGATAAGGAATCAATATCCCAAATATACAGAGAACTCCTAAAACTCAACAACAAAAAATTCAATTAAAAAGTGGGCAAAGGACTTGAATAGACATTTATCTAAAAAAGATACACAAATGACCAATAAGCACATGAAAAGATTCAACATCGCTAATCACTACAAAATGCAAAATCAAAACTACAATGAGGGGCACCTGGGTGGCTTAGTTGGTAAAGTGTCTGTCTTTGGCTAAGGTCATGATCCAAGGGACTTGGGATCTAGACCCGAGTTGGGTACCTTGCTCAGTGGGGAGTTTGCTTCTCCCTCTCCCTCCCAACCCCCACTCATGCTCTCTCTCAAATAAATATAATCTTTTTTTTTTTTTTTAAGATTTTATTTATTTGACAGAGAGATCACAAGTAGACGGAGAGGCAGGCAGAGAGAGAGAGAGAGAGAGAGGGCAGCAGGCTCCCTGCTGAGCAGAGAGCCCGATGTGGGACTCGATCCCAGGACCCTGAGATCATGACCTGAGCCGAAGGCAGCAGCTTAACCCACTGAGCCACCCAGGCGCCCCAAATAATCTTAAAAAAAAAAAAAAAAAAAAACCTACAGTGAGATACCACCTCGTATCTATTAGATAGCTACTAACAACAACAATAAAAAACCCAGAAAATAACAAGTGTTGGCGAGGCTATGGAGACTGGAACACTTGTGTGCTGTTGGTGGGAATGTAAAAAATGATGCAGCCACTGTGGAAAATGGCATGGCAGTTCCAATTTTATATTTATATTGAAATAAAAGCTATTCCATTTCTGGGTATATACTCAAAAAAACTGAAAACAGGGTCTTAAATAAATTATCTGTATACCCATATTCATAGCAGTATTATTCACAAAAGCTAAAACAGGGAAGCAACTGGCATGTCCACCAATAGATAAATAAGCAAAATTGGTGTACACACAATGGAATATTATTCAGCCTTAAAAAGGAAAGAAATTCTGCAATATGCAGTAAGAACCCTGAGAATAGTATGTTAAGTGAAATAAACCAGTTACAAAAAAGACAAATTCTGTATTATTCCACTTAGGTGAAGTGGAATAATTAAATCATAGAAAGTAGAATAGTGGTTTCCAGGGGCTGTGGGGAAGGAGGATTAGGGAGTTATTGTAGGGGGAATTAAGAGCTTCTGTTTTGCAAGATGAGAAGTGTTCTCAAGATGGATGATGGTAATGGTTGTACAACAATGTGAATATACTTAGTATCAGTAACTGTATACATAAAAGGAGTTAATACAGGGAAAAAAGTGGTTAAAATGGTAAACCTTGTGTTATGTGTATTTTACCACACACACAAAAAAGCACTGGCAAAAATTCTAAAAGATGGGGCGCCTGGGTGGCTCAGTGGGTTAAAGCCTCTGCCTTCGGCTCAGGTCATGATCCCAGGGTGCTGGGATCAAGCCCCGCATCAGGCTCTCTGCTCCTTGGGGAGTCTGCTTCCTCCTCTCTCTCTGCCTGCCTCTCTGCCTACTTGTGATCTCTGTCAAATGAATAAATAAAATCTTAAAAAAATAAAATTCTAAAAGATATCTGAGGTCTTAATTGTATTCTCAACACTTATGTTAATTTTTTAAGGTTCATACCTCCCTTCTACAACTGGACTTTTCTTTTAAAAGGGGCACCTGGGATTGGGTTCCGCATTGAGCTCCCTGCTCAGCCGGGAGTCTGCTTATCCCTCCCCTCTGCCCCACTACTTATGTTCTCTCTCTCTGTTTCAAATAAATAAATAAAATCTTAAAAACAACAACAACAAAAAATTCCTAGGGACACCTAGGTGGCTCAGTCAGTGAAGCATCTGCCTTCAGCTCAGGTCATAATCCCAGGGTCCTGGGATCGAGTCCCACATAGGGCTCCTTGCTCAGTGGGGAGCCTGCTTCTCCCTCTGCCTGCCACTCCCCCTGTTTGTGTTCTCTCTCTCTCTGACAAATGAATAAAATCTTAAAAAACAAACAAACAAAATTCCTGAATGTGTCAATTAGAAGTACTAATATGCCACTGATATAAAATAGCTAACTGAAACTATGGGATTGCTTCTTCAAAATTATCTGGGGAAGAAATTTATTAATTAAATGAAATAAAAACAAAATTAAGTTTTCTGAGCATGCACAACCATTCTCTCTACTGCCTCAACCCTCCCAGCCTGAGTCGATGTTTTATGGAAGATAAACCAGAAGGAAAGCAGTAAAGAATCCTGCAACTTCTTAAACGAGTTAACATACTTAAAGTACCTATATATACTGTCATTACATATGCTGCTTACTATTACTACATGCTAATTTTTAAGGCACAGGTAAAGGCATGTTTCCAAATTTTAAAAAAAGGTTGCAATCTCATTATAGAAAAGAATGATCCAAGAGAAAATAGAATAAATAGGACAGAGCAATCCTTTATTTTTAGACACTTTCACAAAGAGGTTTTCGGTAAATGAACTTCCCATTGGAGAAGAGAGAACATGAAAATCAGCCTCCAGCCATCAGCAGCAGCTCTGCTCAGGGCCTAGGGTCCTCCTTGCCCGAGTGGTGAGGTGGAGGTGTGTACTTCCCTTCCTTTATTAGTTTATTCCGCTGCCTTCTGATCTCACTCAGACGTTTCATCTGTCAAAGGAAAGAAGTATTTAAACTAGTGGGAAATATGTATCATAAAGTTGAGGCCTAGACAAACAGAATGAAAACTGGTTTCATGGGGCGCCTGGGTGGCTCAGTGGGTTAAAGCCTCTGCCTTCGGCTCAGGTATGATCCCAGGGTCCTGGGATGGAGCCCCGCATCGGGCTCTCTGCTCAGCGGGGAGCCTGCTTCCTCCTCTTTCTCTGCCTACTTGTGATCTCTGTCTGTCAAATAAATAAATAAAATCTTAAAAAAAAAAAAAAAAGAAAATTGGTTTCTTTTTTAAACTATGGAAGCTCGTCATCCTAGAGGTTCTCTGAGATGAAATCTTTCTTTAAAGAAGTAACTTGAAATCACTTCCCACACTTTTTAACAAATTTCTGGTATGCATAATAATACCTCCTTTAAAAATAGTAACTAAAATGTTCCTGTTATATATAGGAATACAGGTATTTATAAAAACAGTAACAAAACATAGATCAAAAACATTTAAGAGGCATAGTTGTGCATACTTAAAATCTTTATACAATATCGAGATGGTCTCACAGCTGATACAATCCTGACCTCTCTATGTGTAACTGGCACTGCTGCTGGTGACTGTTCATGGGGTATGAAGGAAGCAGAAATAACCAATATGAGGTTTCCCTTTATCACACCGAAATAAAGACCTGGTATGTGGTCAGCTACTAGCCACTACGGAGCCCTGAGTTCTGCCTCTTCCCCTCAGTAGGACACTGGTTGTCTCCCAACCAATGAAAGCCATGCTGTATGAGATTGTAGGAAAGCTGTAATTCCCACGGATTCTGCGACACAGATAATATACCCCTTAATTCTGACTGCATCATTCCTCTGCCCCAAACCCGATGGCTTCCCATCTTACTGAGAAAAAAGCTGAATCCCTCTTTGTAACAACTTACTAGGCCTACCTCTGACTTTACATCTTGTCCCCCCACCCACCCCGCCCGCACTCTGGCCTTACATCTTAATACTTTCCCTCATTTTCTCTCTTCTACCTTGGGGACCTTTGCACTTGCTCTTTCCTCTAACCAGAACATTCTTCCCTCACATCCACATGGCACACTTTAAGTCTCTGCTCAAACACCTTCTAGCGCTGAGCTCTTCTCTGACCACTCTATTTAAAAGAGAGAGAAAAAGAGCATCCACTTAGCCCCCACACGCAGTGCTTTCTATCTTCATCTTCTCTGCTGTACTTACCAACACCTAACACACTATTTTAACTTGTCTGTTAATTCTGACACCCCTTACCCAAATATAAGCTCCATTAGGGTAGAGACATTTTGCTGTTTTCTTACTGTATATTCCTAGCACCTACAATAGCTCCTGACATAACAGGTGCTTCGATAAATACACTTTTTTAAATGAGTAAGTTTCCACAGAGGCATGAAAAGTCAGTATATTCAGTAAAATATCCCATGTTCTAGTCTTGCCCCAAGTTTTTAATTGTTTAGTGGAAAAATTCTAGGAAAGCATTTCCCAGGATTATTGTGTGAAATAATTCCACTATTACAAGCTAAGAACTTAGAACAGTGCTTGATTCTAATTCCCTGATTCACCAGCTAGCTAGTCATTCAGTGTGATGGCTAAAACAGAAACAGACCTATTTACAAATTCACAAGATGAGAAAGTGACTTGAGAGCAACTCTTGGATATTTCCAGATAAGGAAACTGAGACCAAAAAAGGGAAGTGACTTCCCCAAAGTCACAAAACCAGTGGTGGCAGAACCAACAACAAAACCCAGCTCTCTGAGAGCACCTGACTGGCTCAGTAGATGGAGCGTGTGGCTCTTTATCTCCAGGTTGTGGGTTCGAGCCCCATATTGGGTAGAAATTACTTAAAAATAAAATCTTAAAAAAATTAAAAACAAACAAACAAACAAACCCACCCAACAACAAAACCAGTCCTCCTAACTCCCAATCCAATGTTCTTTCTACCTCTCCACACTGCCTCCTTTTGGTGTAAATTTTCCAGGAAGAGTAGTCTTAATCTGAGTAATAAGTAACCGGGGCCCTCAAGAAGACAAATTAAGACATACTGTAAACTAAATAACTGGTAGGTGGCTATTACCCACTTACTGTCCCTCAGTAATACTTCAATATTACTCACTTAAAGATCAATGTTCCTGCAGAGATAATACAAAATTATTACCTGATACCCTCTAATTTCTTCCAAGTTTGGTTTCACTTTACCCAAATGCCAAAAGCAAATGTTAAAAGATAGGAAATTTACAAAAAATTTTTTTAAGATTTTATTTATTTATTTGACAGAGAGATCACAAGTAGGCAGAGAGGCAGGCAGAGAAAGAGGGGGAAGCAGGCTCCTTGCTGAGCAGAGAGCCCAAAGTGGGGCTCGATCCCAGGACCCTGAGGTCATGACCTGAGCCAAAGGCAGAGGCTTAACTCACTGAGCCACCCAGGTACCCCAGGAAATTAAAAATTTTTGATATAAAGAACTGTGATAAATTTAACTAAAAATCTAAATTGCCTTCCTGAACTTCAAGGAGTTAGGAGTAATAAAAACATTTCTATTTGTTATACCTAGAGCAGAGAAATAGGCAAAATAACAGCCCACACCCAAAGGTTTCTTCTCTAAGGGAGAATACAGCCCACATGTTATACAACTCATTCAACTCTTGAGGAGAGACATCACCCCCTTAATATCCTTTTTTTCCCCTGCCACTTTGGTCAGGCTCACCTAAAGCAATCTCATTAATACCTCCATCTTTCCCAGAGTAGAAATTAATCCAGAGATTGTTATACCAGGTTCAATGTAATAGATCTGCAGGGTTTTAATCTCTTTTCCACTGAGGGTTCAATGAATTTGGAACATTTTCATGCAGAGATGTTCAAGGACCAACATCCAAAGCTGGTTGGTAACTTCTGCTTTACAGCCTACTGCTAAAAAGGGAATACACACACATGCGATTTCTAATCTGGTGGCTATAGCAGGGTACAATGCTAAAGAAAATATGTCAGAAGATGAGAAAGAACACTGAGGAACAATAGACCCTCCTCAGTTCTGAAGGCATTTAACTTCCTCAACATGCTTTCTACCTATGTAGAGAAAGTGTTTCACCACAAAAGTTTTGCCAATTTGCATTGGGCAAGCCACTGCCAATAACCAATTAAAAATACTTAAAAGCAGCCCTAAAGAAACAAGAAAATTATTCGGCTACTGTCTCCATCACTCCTCACCGTTTTCTGCCGAAGCAGACATTCTACGAAATCATCCAATTCTATCTTGCACTCTTTTGCTGCACGGGTAGCACCGATTCCATGCGCACACTCTATCCATTCTTTTTCAAAAGCGTGGCATCGAGCTGGAATCTTGTGAGGCTGCTCAGCACTCTGGATGGTCATCCACTGATCTAAGTCAACGCCCAGCCTTTTCTGCACATCAAAGAAAGGCATGGCTGAAATGGAAAATAAAAAAAGAAATAATGCCATAAAAGTGCAATCAAATGAGAAACTTCTAAGGAAAATGAGATAGTTAATTTTAAGTATCCCTCTAGAAAGATATTTTATGCTATTCTCCCAATATATTCTCATTTTTTCATTTGACAGGTTCCTCCAGTTTCTGGTAGATTAACAATATCTGTGTTTTCACAAACCTGGGGGGTGGGGGAAACCCATGAGAACTAAAAAACAATGCGTAAAAATCATCTCTGTATTAATAAGGTCATTTTTTTAATAAGGTCATTTTAATCAAAAGTCAGTCTTTATGTTTTGACTCAATAATCCCACTTCTCTGAGACAAATCTGAAGAAATAATTGAGAACAAAAAAGCACAATCACAAAAACATTTCTTTACATTTTTCTATTTGTATCAATTCAGACACTTCTGCTGTGAAACTATCCTGAATCTGGTGTCCCTCCTCTGTGTTCCCACAGCATCTGAACTCACAGAAGTACTCTGCATGGATTATTAACCTGAATGTCTCCCTTATTGAACAATGACTGCAGTGGGGGCATGGCAGGTAGGGGCTCAGTAATTGTTAGGAGAAAAAAAAATTTCAAACAACTTAAGTGTGCAACAATAAGGAAATGGATACTTTAGGTACCCGCCTAGCAGAATACGACAGACATTAGGAAAAACAAATACTATATATGGTACGTGCATATTAATGTTAAACGAGAAAAAAAAGGGCTCACAGTGTCAAAGAAGAGACTGGAAGGAAGCACAAAAAATGTCAATAAAGTCATGTATGAGCGGTAGATTTACAGGTGAACTTAATTTTTATATTTTCTACCCATTCTTTCTTTTACTGAGTAATAACGTTTCAGGCACTGGAACGAGAGGAAAGCAGCAGCTGCAACGGAAGCACTAGAATGGGGACACACACACGCAAGGAAACGGGAACCCAAAGGACAAGAGGGTATGGCTCGAAGAAGTAAGCACCAACTCTGCCCAGGAGACTTGAAAATGCTTTTAAGATGGGTTGAGTTTGCCAAGTTAAGGTCAGTGAGAAGAGTACTCCACTAAAGCACAGCACAAATTACAACCGGCGGTACTGGGTATGTCTGCGGGACACCGAGCACCCAGATGTGGCTGGAGCGTACAGCGCATGTCGTGAAGAAGAACGAAAGGAGCTGGAGGTTGGCGGCGCCGCAATCACTCAGCGCCTTGATGGATCAGGTGGGTGGACCTCAGATTAAGAAACAGACGGCCAAAGCATTACTCCGGCAGAAAGCTAAATTAATCTGGACAGAGAGCCGAGAGAGGCGCGGTCTACAGGCTTCAGTGGCACTGGCTGTAGCGCAGAAAGCCTGGGAATGCAGAAAACATGCCCAGAGTTCGGGCCTGGAAATTCGGACACCCAGGAAAACAAGAGAAAATTCGTTAAAGAAATCTTGGAAGGAAGCTCCTTAAGCTAAACTGCCCGCAAACAAACGTAGACCCTACCGTCGCACCGGTGTGCCCTTGTCTCTTCGCTGGCTGCCGCTACCGGATGATCTGCGAGCGACGCAGAGGCCTGCCGCAAAGGACGCCCGCAGCGCGATGCTTGCAGCGCGACGTCGAGTCCAGACCTTCCCTCCGCGGTCGCGCCCGGAAACCATAGAAACCAAGCCCTTCGGTCTGCGCCTGCGCAGTCGTCAGCGGCAGCCACTTAGGGTACGGGCTTGTAAATAAACTGATTTTTAGGTGACTCCGTTAGACGGGGCCCGGGGGTAGTTCCTACTATCTGCTCGCTTGGTGCCTAGCACTCTCACCACAGTTCGAATTGGTGAGGTACTTGAGCCAGGCCACAAGAGAGAAAAAGTAGTACCTTCCCCACCTCCACCCCTGCCAATAGTAGTTGAGTTCATGGGCTGTGGACCTAACGCTGGGTGGGTTCAAATTCTGACTCCGCCACTTCGTTGTGACCCTGAGAATGTGTTTTAACCTCACTATGCCTCAGTTTTCTCGTCTTAAGTACCTGCAGTGTAGGGTTGCTTTGGGGATTAAATGAGGTAATTGTAAAACACCGAGGCGGTTCCTGGCACGTGGAAAGCTCCCCAAGGCAACCACAGTTCGTTGATGCTTTCAACTTCTAAACTTTTCAGATTCGAGAAAGTCAACAGAGACCATGCCGCTCCTGTTTCAGAACATCCACGAGCTCTCTTTAAGAGACCACAGCAGGGCCTCCGACGTGGCATCTGTGATATACACGGAGAGTGAGGAAAGAAAACACTCAAATACTTATATTTTTAAATCTAATCTTTTTTAAATTTCTATTTTTAAATATCTTTTTTATTCAGTAAACTTTGCACCCAACATAGGATTCAAACTCACGACCGTGAGATCAACAGTTGCAATGCTGCAGTTACTGAGGCACCCAGATGCCCCTTTAATTTCTATCTTTTGGTGTAAATGTTTATGAAATATGTAATGTTACTGCAATTGTACATATAAGTAATTTATAAAAAAATATGTGAGGTTTGGGCTTAAAAATTATTCTTTTGAATGATGTGCTCTCAGAAACGTTTATAGAAGTCAAGTCTTCTAGCCTTCCCAGCCTCATTGTCCAAAATTCTCTGCCTACATCTTCCCCATCCAAGAGCTTGCTGTTCCGTTGTATTCTTGGAAAAGTCCTGCCAGCCAGTCTCTGATTTTTTTTTTCCCCCTTTCCCCTAGAAGGACACCATTTCCACCCTATCTCCATTTCTATGTGTCAAATTCTTGCTCTGCTGCAGGACTTTTGTGTAAGTTTTTCCCTTGATGCTTGGAGGCATCCAAGCCCTAGGATCACCAACTCTGGAGAGAATTCCTAAGGTCCCACAGCTTAACTGGTTTCTTTTAAGCATTCCAATTCTTCCTCTGCTCCCCCCAGCCCATCAGATCTATAACTCCCGACTGGAATCAGAGTTTCAATTCAGCTAGAATTTCCTGAACACCTAATGCATGTTCAGCAGAGTACTGGAAGTTTATGGAATTGGTAATTCATGGGTCTTGCCCACAAAATAGTAGAGGTAGCAAGGTATTGAATGCCAACTCCTTTCTGACTTCTTCTACTTTCTTGTTTAAATTGGTGATATCCTCTACCCATTCAGGCAGGAAACTCTGAAGTTGTGTTTTGCCTTTTCCTCATCTTTCATCCATTCTTTAATTTCTGGCCACGTTCTCTCAAATATTCTTTAAACAGGTTTCTAATTCATTTCTTCCACTCTGCCTCACACACAGCTCCTCACTTTATTCTGTTTTTCACTGAATAATGTTTCTAAAATACTAATTTCATTGTATCACTCCTCAGATACCAAGCAGGATAGATTAGTACAAAGATGGGTGACTCAAAAGCCAATCAAGAGTTCACTATAAGGAAATAAAAACGTGCAGCATAATAAATGGCAGCTGGTATTTGGCCTCAGTTTGACTGATGGAAGGAGTCATGTGGAATGTGACAAACAGGAGAGAATATGTCCTGTCTGAAGGCAGTGGCAGCTACTCGGCTGCATCCTGTAGTTGTTGAGAAAATCAGGGCCCTCAAATTGTCAAATCACCTAAGTTTTTCAAGAGAAGCCAGAAATCTTTTGTTACTGTTTAAATGTGAAACCTGCCACTTTTAAAATGCAGGGTGACTAATTTTTTTTTTTCCAAGTGCTGGCCCAACAAAACCCACATTGGAAATGTATTTTGATGTGCCAGATTCCAATCCTTAGAGGGAAATCTGAAGGTAGGGAAAGGAATGTACTCTGATGCCTTTTTACGTCCAGCGTTGCTCCCTTCTTACCCACTCTTCTCACTGCTGCCTGTTGCTTTTATAAAACTCAAAACTGATCATTCAAAAAATACTTAACTAAAAAAAAAAACAAAAACAAAACAAAACCCCAATATTTTTCCTGAGCTCTTACCATATGTCATGGCCCTTGATGAGCCCTTTGGACTAGGAAACAGAATGCTGTATAGCAAGTGATAGCAGAAATATGAACAAAACAAGGGAGAACACAAAGGACAGGGTTATTCATACTGCTTCGGTTGTGTTTCAGGTGTCAGTGTATTCACGAAAAGGTTAAATTTTCGGGTTTGGCATTCAAGACCCCTCATGATCTGATTTCTTCCTATTTCTAAATCCTCGGATATAATTGCTTACTGAGCCTCCTCGTGTTCTCGGCCATGTAGAATTGCTCTTCCAAACTTTGGAGGAATAGTTTCTTTTCCCTGTAATGTCCCAACCTGCTTGCCGCCACCTTCCTACTGTCTCCCAAGCGAATACCTAATCCGTCCAGAACATTTATGGACAGTTTTCTGGTGAAAGCTTCCCAAATGCCTTAGGCATTTACTACGCCTTTCTTGAAATCCCGCCAGCCTTGTAGACTTATATTGTAGATTGTGTTCACTGTTGACACACCGGTCCCCTCCACCGGAAGGTGCAGATAACCCCGTGTCCTCACGATATGAAGGAATGTCGGTGACCGGTCTTCCAGTACTGCAAATATTGGAAAACTACAACTCCCAGAATTCCCACGCCAGACAGGAGTCTGCGCCGTTGCCATAGTGAGCACGCGCGCCCTCTTGGATTCTTGCAGTTTACGTTACAAGTGACTGGTTCCAGATCTTAAGGGTGTGTTGCCCTGCTCCATTAAACGCCCTTAGTTTACCTTCCGTTTACCTTGCTCTGCAGATTCTCTGCTTCGGGGACGTATGATTTTACGACCTCGGAGGATTTTACGCGCAGAAGCAAGCCCGAGCTGTCGTGTTCTCCATTTTGTATGCGGGAATCCGAGGCGCGGAGACCGAATGGAAGTCGACAATGCGTTCGCCGCGATTTGTTCTAAGCAAGCAGAGCCTTGCTCCCAGCTTCAGCGCGTGTGGATGCCCTGATGACTTAATTTAAGCCCCACATTCCTACCCCCTGGAAACTAGCCTCAGACTTTCTGCGTGAGCAAAGGCTGTGGACGGTGTCCGGCCTTCTAGAAACACCCTCGGTCTCCCTTCACGGGACTTCTGTCCTTGACCTGAAGGTCCCCTCATGTTTACAGACCTTACTCAGTTATAACCCGAGGTAAAGCTTTAACACTACCCATCAGCAGATAGGCTGTCTGTATAGTTTAACACATGGGGGACTTTGCAGCCCTGTATCCTACCAAGGCTACAAAGTTGAGCAAACAACTGGGTAGCCTGAGGGTCCTAGCACATTTGGGGAAGACAGTTTGGAAACTTACCCCGCCCTCACACCCAAGCCCCCAGATATAGGATACATACAAAAAAAAAAAAAAAAAAAAAAAAGCCAATAAGCAAAGTAATCTTAAAGAGATAGTAATGGGGCCCAAGGCCAAGGCACCTGGTGGGCTCAGTCGATAGAGCATGTGACTGTTGATGGGGGTCCTGAGTTCGAGCCCCATGTTGAATGTAGAGATTACTATACAATTTTTTTTAAAAAATGGGTACAGGGACGCCTGGGTGGCTCAGTTGTTTAAGCAGCTGCCTTCGGCTCAGGTCATGATCCCAGCGTCCTGGGATCGAGTCTCACATCGGGTTCCTTGTTCTGTGGGGAGCCTGCTTCTCCCTCTTCCTGCCACTCTGTCTGCCTGTGCTCGCTCTCTCTCTCTCTAAAAAATAAATAAATAAATAAATAAAAAAGAAAAAAAAAAGAAAAAAGAAAAAATGGGTACAAACTCCTGGAATATATTGGAAGCCGGGATGATCACTTAAACTAGGAAAGAATGCCGACTGGGGTGAAGATACCAAGTTTAAGATGCAACAGAACCAGGAACTAAAGCAGCATAACTCAAGTGGGAATCTGTGCCAGGTTTATGGTGGTAGGGGTTAACTTGGTGCTGGTAAACATTCCATCCCTAGAATTAACTCCCCCCATTCTGACTTTAATTAGGCCTATGAAGTGGTATGTATGATTATATGAAGAGAAAACAGTTAAGGCCAATGGGGTTGGCTAACACACTTGACATATTTCTCATTGTAAATTTATGCACTGTAGGGGTGCCTAGCTGGTTCAGGAGAGCATAGGACTCTTAATCTCAGGGTCATGAGTTCAAGCCTCTCCTTGGGCATAGAGCCTACTTAGAAATGAGAAAAAATAACACACTGGAGTCTGGTTTTATAGACCATTATAGCTGTATTAGTGAATCAGCCTTCTTTGTACAGATCAGGGTGATTAAACTACCTGGGGGGAAACTGCCAGGGCAGCTGAGTAGCCTTTCCCAGTAAACACCCTGGTCTCCCTGTCCAGATGCACAGAACACTTACCAAAGGAAGTTTTATCCGTTTCTGCCCATAGACTGTGAGCTTTTCTAGGGTAAGGACCACATTTCCCTTAACCCTAGCTACAGAGAGACAACCTGTGGAAAGCTTAAAATTATTTTATCTAGAAGTTAAGGGAGAGTTTCAGGTAGTGCACTGACTGGAAAAGGGAAGGAGTAGCCACATAATTCATTTAGTCATTCATCATTTAAGAGGCTAGAATAGAGAGGGACCTGACTGGCTCAGTGGACAGAGCATGATCTCGGGATTGTGAGTTCAAGACCCACATTAGGTGAAAATTATGTAAAAATTTTTAAAAAACCTAAAA